CCCTCCCCCCCCTATATTAGGACTTAAATTATTTTATTAATAAGGCTGTTTTTTTTTGTTTTTTTTAGTTAACTATAATAACCCTGGTAAGTATTTCATTATGTTCACATGTACTGTATATTGACCTCAAAAGTTCAGCTCAGTTATGCGAAAAACATTGATCAACTTTTACAGCACTGAATTAATATAGTGCTTTAAGATTAGTGATGATAAATAAATATTTACTGTTGGATTGTATTTGACCTTTTTTTATTATTATCTGAAACATGCTGTGACTTATATAATGCAATTAACAACAAGCATGCAAAATATTTGAATTTGTGCTGAATAAGAGACATACATGCGTCCAAGTTTATTTGCATAATTCATTTCCCACTTGTCAGAAGTTTCAGTTTCGCTTTAAAAAAAAACTATAACTGTCACTATAATGTTTGTTTTATACTTTTATTTTTTGTTTTGAATATGGTTAAATGTAAAAGATTTGTTGTTAAGTAAGTGGAACTAAGATACATATTTATAGTGTCTGAAATGTTTCATTTTATTTACCAGTATTTTACGTTATTTCTGAATTTAATAATATAATGTGACTTATACTGATGCAATTTATGTTTGTTTGTTTTTTTTGGTGCAATTTAGACTTTTTCTTTCTGGAAAACACAGTAATACTGTAGTTTAAGAATCATCTACAGGTAAAAAAAACAACAACAATAATAATAAACACATTTGTTCAGCACTAATGTGAACATTGGATGGGATGCACAGTGATAAATACAAATAAAATGATAAAAAAAAATCAGGAGCAGACATCATGCAAACTCTATTTAACAGGTGTCACAATGTCACTTCATTGAATCATAATGGTGGATAACATGTCACATGCTGTTAAAACACTGAGTGGCCACGTCCTCAGACAGGACAATGAGTTCCTACCTCAAAAAAGAAGACCTCATCAAACTGAGGATTGTTGGTTTTCCGTTTGACCTTCGTCTTCTTGGCTTCTGACCTGTAAGGGGTGAGAAATGCATTTATGTTATGCTACGATATGTTACACTGACAGTGATTTGCAGCTATTTCAGGTGGTGTGTTGAATTTACACTTATTCAAAAGTTTGGGGTCAACAAGTTTTTTTTTTAAGGAGACATATTATGCCCCTTTTTACAATATGTAATTTAAGTCTCTGGTGTCCCCAGAATGTGTCTGTGAAGTTTCAGCTCAAAATACTCCACAGATCATTTATTATAACATTTTGAAAATGCCTATTTGAGTGGAAGCAGAAACACGCTGTTTTTCGTGCCTGTTTCTTTAAATGCAAATTAGCTGCTGCTCCCCGCCCCCTTTTCCAGAATAGAGCTGTGCCATTACAGCTCGGACCTGCTAAAAAACATCTGTTTTGGTTCTGATTATCATGTTTATCGCGCTGAAATAATGCGTTTTAAACCATATTAATTTAAACTTCTGATACACGGTTTTCTGAGAGCACACACGGACAGAAAGCGGCTGTCACAGCATGTGAGTACTAAACTAAGTTCTCATTCACACACAAGTTTACGTTAAAAACACACACGAGTTACAAAA